AAAAAAAAAATTACTACAAAAAAGCTATACTCGTTACTATCTTACCACATGCACCCTAAGTACCAAATATATCTATTTAACTAGTGTATAAAGATATTTAGTAATTTATTTTTAATTAAGAAAATTCTATTTTGACAAAAATCAAAGAATGCCAATTTTTCATATTTCGAGTATAGTTTTTAAAGGTCATCACTCGTCGAAATTATTTTTATGGAAAATATATATTAACAGGTATTTAATTTTTCTAAATAAAAAATCGGGCGTGAAATTTATTTGATGAAAAATCAAGTATTAATTAAATTATTAATCATATTATAAAATTGACCAACCACTCCCATACCACCCGCCCCCACAACAAAACATAAAATATTTCACATCCTCATAGGCTGCCTCTAAGACATGGCTCATATAGCCATCGTGCATAACTCTCTCCATCTCGATCTTTTCTCATAAGGGCACATACGAGGTGGCGTTCATAGAGCCACTGCGAGCAGTGGCGATGATGGAAAAAATCGTCACTACGGACCTGAACCGAGGCCTTAGACGGGGTCTTAGATTCATAACTGGATGACGTCGCTGGTTTGATTGATATGTCACAATCTAGTGCACGACGGCACTAGTTTCGAATCTGTTGTTTATTCGCCATCGCCTTTGTTCGGTGTGATGTGGTGCGCGACAATGTTACACATGATTTGTGACAGTGGTATGGTAGTGGTTTTTGTTAGAGGTGGCGGTGTCAATATTGGTGGTGGTGTGTTTGTATTGTTGTTGATGGTGGTGTGATGGCGGAAGCGATGGGGTGGGATGAAGGGTGTGTGTAACCAACTATTTATGTATTTATGACCAATCATTTAATTATGACTAAAAAATTCTATAATTTATGACTAAAAAGTAATTTGTTATCAACTAATTTCAAAAATTTGTAACCGACGAATAAATTGTGATCTATAAATTTTTTGATTTGTAACTGTGAAATAATTTTTAATCAATTAATTTGATAATAAGTTATCAATAAATAAGTTGTGACCATTAATTGTATAATTATAACCTTAATATATTTAATTATTTATTTATCACCTAAGTTTTTAGTTTTGAAACTTTAAACATGAAAATTGAATTGACCATAACTACTACCTGATTTTCCCATTATTTTTTTCATTCCTTTTTTGTTTGAAGGTTTTTTTTTCCCTTTCAAATGATTGTAACTCAATTTTCATTAACTATGTTTTTGTTGATTAAAATTTAAAATCACTCTTTTGTCTCATTTCTCAAGAAAATCACTGTGGGACCAAACAATCTGCCTGTTTGGTACGGCTCAAAATCCAATTAAAATTAAAAATATAGCCGTTATTGGGTCTCACTCATCGAATAAAAGTCAACAATAACGGCTAGTTTTTCAATTTTAATCCGATTTTAATCTCTACCAAACACCCTCCAAGTCCTGCAAACTCAGCATTAGGTACCTAAGAACACAGTTTGTGCTTTTAATTTTAATACGACAATTTGGAGCCACTAAACCAGTACCAGTGTAAAAACCAGTACCAGATGCAAGGTGATGGACCCAACTTCGTTAATTTACACCAAACACAAATTGAAAAAATAAATAAATAAAACGCCAAGAGTTAATATCATTCTTATACTGCACTGCTCATAATGTAGCCATACAATTAATCCCTTCTTCATTCTAATATTTAAGGCATAAAATAGGACTTTGCTGACCATCTAGTATGCACATTTTTACAAATAAGAGCAAAACCTGATTAAACTTCAATTCTCACTCAGCTTGACCTCTATCATTTATTCCTATTGTAAAATACTAATAATATATAAATAACACAATAATTTTATCGCTTCGAGAATATTACCAATATCACCATTGACATTGAAGCCACGATTTTGAAACTGGGGGTCTCCCAGAAGTTCTTCCTTCTGGTAATCGTGGGTTGTTTTGCCGCCAGTTGATCTCTGAGTTTTTTCAAAGCTTTGTCCCTACGCTCTCCCATCTGTAGAACAAATATGAATAATAATTAAAAATAGTTAATTATTAATATGATCATCAAGCAAGAATAATGTGGCAAGTAACAACACAAATGTGTCGGATTAGAACCATAATTACTATGCAAAAATGTTTTCTCAATCAATATGTTTCAATGTGCTTGGTGATTGTGCAGACAATTTATCCACCTTTGTCAACAAGAAGCTCAAATTTTGGTTTTCTTTAACGAGTGTTGATTGTCTTTGTGGGTGGGGTGGGGTGGATGGCCTTCGACTATTGTAGAATGTATCGGCTGGACTTTAGTGATCGTAAGTGGGTTATACAATATTAAATAAGAAAAAGAAGTTAAAATGTTATCTATTGTACTTTCCAATTTTGCGTACCAATCATGCACAAAAGAATTCAAATTGAAAGTGTCGGTTCTTTGACTAATTGAATCCAGCATAATGTTACTCAATCAAAGCAATAGCACATCAAGAAACATTGGTGAACCAAACAAGAAGATAATAATGGAATGAACAGTAGCCACTATTGTGTCTTGCAGTAACGCAAACTCTAAAACAAACATAACGTGCGACTAAACTAATAAGGTTGCATCAAGAAACCTGTACAGTGCTAGTAACATAAGAGAGAGAGAGAGAATTACTCTTTGGAGCTTGCGAGTTTGAGCACGAGCTTCTTGTAGACAAAACTCTAATTTCAGTACTTTCTTTTTCAACTCCTGGTCTGCTCTACGATGCTTCTCTAACTGTCAAACAACACACAAATCTTTACATACAAAAAAATATTGCAGGTAATCAAAGGGCAAACTTTAGAGTTGCTACTATAAATAACTGATTTGAGATGATCAAACCTGAGATTCCAACTCCTTAGTTTTAAGCTTCCAATGAGCAGACATAATCCTTATTTCATCTCTCAGCTTAGCGATGTCTTCATCCTTTACAGTCAAAAGTTTATTCATCTTTTCAATATTCTTAGGGGAAACTTCATCTAATATTTTCCTAAGCTCACAATCTTTATTCGCTCCAGCCTTGGCTAATGCTTGCATAATCTCGTGCTCTATTCTCATGACTTCATCTTTCAGTTGTATTTGAGAAAGATCCCTAGCTTGAAGATTCTTCTGAAGAATATCTATTTTTTCTCCCAGCTTATTGATATGAACCTCGTGCTCCTTTAAAGAGAAATTCTTCTCTTCTAATTCTTTCAAAAGCGCCAGACACTGTAATTCTGCAGATTGAGCGGACTGTGCACTAGCATCTGTTGTAGCTTTAGTCGCCAAAAGCTGTGATCTCAAATCATCCAGATCCTTGTCACACTGCAGTTCATCATAAATAAAATCAACCATGATAAAGTTGCAACTAAGTGGAAGAGACTATATGCAAAACCAGACAGAAGATAGGTAAATGTAAGATATCCACAGAATGTAAAAACAAATCAATTCAATATTGTGCCTGTGAAATGAAGCAGCATTTTTCCATAGCAATGGCCAAAATACAATAAAAATAAGTCAAAAGTAAAAAAATGTAAACAAAAGTGTTTATACATCATTTGAAAAGTCCAATTCCTCTTTGTATTAGAGTTCTATATAAACATAATGGAAGTGATAAAATCGACATAGACCTTAAGTAGCTTCAAGATTAACCACGAACTTTTATGTCTGCAGCTTGGAATTGTTAATGCCAAGGCAATTCATTCTACCCAAGTACCTTACCAACTTTGAAGCATAAAGCATTATCTCAAATGATACATCGTCTGCTTCAAGGTTTATACCAGGTAGAAAATCTGGAAACCGCTCTAGCATAATTATTCTCAAAACTTAATCAAGATTCCGCAAAGCAGTTCAATAAGATTTTTTTTGCATCACATATCATGGAGTTACTATAGAATAGTGATGTTAATACTGTGTATTATACTGTAAATCATTCAGCAGTACCATATACAATCTAAACATTCAAGAATACATACATTAGATGAAACTTATTTTTCCTAGCAAATGGATTGCTGTAAATTAGAAATCCAAGTTGTTAACAAAAAGGATCACATTTTTGCTTACATGTCACAAATACCCACATTGCTGACTACTCCAATCCCAAATTTCCATTTTTCCATTTTAAATGGTATTCTAGAAAATTTGAAATCTGCATGTATATTATATAATATTTTAGAAGTGCAACAAATGAAATGAGTAACTGAATATATATAATTAAAAATGGATCTCCATCAAAAAAATTTCAAATTTTCCAAAATCAGCTAGATAGTGTTGAAATTTTTGGAAGGTGAAAACCAGATACCACTGTGGAAATTAACAGATCCACAGACAATGTTTCAATCATTGACTCATTTGACATCTTAAGATGAAAGTTTAGGAAGAACCAACTTGAACGGGACATTTAACTTTGAACTCAACCGATAGCTGAGCTAACAATAGTAAACCAAATTACCTACTAACAAAGCAAAGCAGATTCAGGCACCTGAGATCTAAACAAAGTAAAAGTTGTCTCGGCCACCATAGAACTAATGACATGCAGTAGTTCATATTGCGCTACGATATATTATTACTTTTTCTCACATTTTTCAAATTGAAATCTTGGATTTTACAAGGACTGGAAATAAAATGATGTGAAATATTGGCTTAATTAGAAACAACATTACACAACTGTAGCTTTAAGCTTCGGTTTAAACATTATCATTAATAATACCTTGTCATTTAAAGACACATAAATATCAATGTGCTATTTTCTTAGAATTTCACAATAGATTTTTGGGGTGTTGCATCTTTCTTCATTCATTAACTTTCTATTAATAGATCTGATAAGAAATTCCCTATTATATCCTTAATCTTATGCGCATATCTTTTTCATAAAATAGCACTAGCTCCATCCCACAAAGATAACCTTGCTTCCATTTTTACATGGATTAAGAAAGCGTAACTAAGGGTATATTAAGAAATTAAGAAATCAACTATATGCTTATCAAGGAAAGTAGCCTTCAATTTTAGATAAACGAAAAAGGAAAGCAAGTTTATGTGGGAGTAGGAGTAGAGAAAAAATTACAATGCAATTTTATTAACCCCCTGTTTGGAGCAGATTTTCCACAGTGAAAATGGATTTTTCAACCGTTGGAGCACAATTTTCCAAAAAAACATGTGAGATGCAAGTCAAAATTTGCAGCTAGGTGGACCCTTCAACGGCTATAATTCTTCTTAAAATGGAGAAAAAAATTGGAAACAGACAGTGGCTAAGTTTTTAAAATATAAGCTTGACTTTGACATTTAATTATAATATAAAAGGCATAAATTTATAAATTAAAATTATTATTAGCATCCCACAGTTACTACTAACAACTCAACAAGTTGATATCGCAGTGGAAGAAGTAATCCATGAAACCAGGCCCTGTGCCAACCTCGGTCCTAGTCTTATCTTTCCTGGCACCTTATAATTTGTTTAGCCTCAAATGAGAAGAGAAATGCTGCATAAGTTTTTCATGTGCCTAGAAGCAACTTGTTAACCCATGATGAGTAGCACAAGACGATCATAACTTCAGCTGCTAGCACAGGGAATCAACTTGATGTAGGGACAGCTTTAAGAAGTCCCATAGAGCCTCCTTTGTTAAATTTTGTGATGGGCTTTTACGCTAGTTGCATGGCCAATGAACTGAATATCAAGTACAAGTTCCCAAAAACAGTAAAGGATTTTGTGAGCTTTTGGGCTGTTTTGGGTGCCTATGAATGTCACCCAAGAATAGAACTATAGGAGGAGGAGGAGGAAGCAAGAGGAGAGCTTCTTTCATACCCTTCCATAGGTTTAGCAAGTTCCAACTACACATTAACTTTTCATCATAATCAACTTGGTGTTTCAATTGAGAAAATACATATTTATAGACTTTTAGATTTCCTAATATTGACAGGACACGTGATAAAATATTATGAAACAAAATAAATAAGCAACTGTATATTGACTAAGATTAACCTAGATTTCCTGTAATTCCTAATAAAGTTTGGACTATATTAAAAAACAAATACAAGACTGTATAGACTACGGAAAAGTAGTTATTAGTTTGTCCAGACATCATGAAAAAAGGTGAAACTAGTTTTTTGTATAAAACAATAATTAATCATAAATAATAAATTTCAAGAGAATCTGTAGAAATCGTGTATAATGGAAAGAGATAAAAATCTTTCCATTCTTAGTGAAAATAAATAATTATAGATTGTGATTATTAGGAGAGTTATTTTTTCCTTTTTTAGTTCCATTATTGTATTATATAAAGTGATGTAAGTTTGGAATTTAAAGTAATGTGAATCAAAAACATTCTCTCTCGTTTTTTCAGAATCACTAACATGGAACAATGCATGTAGTTGAGCCTAAACTTGATCAATTTCTCCAAATCCTTTTTTTTTTTTTATGTAAAAAGCACCAATATGCCTACTTGAGTAGCAAATGTCTCAAGTCACATCAATAGTTAAATATCATGACTCCAGAAGTTGAAATATGGTATTTACAATACAACTATTTTTGGACCTTATTGTGAGTCCTATAGCAGGAAAACAAATAATGGAAATAGGAATTACATTCCATTTTTTTGTTTTGTGAGAAAGTTAAATTGGGAGAGCAAACATACCACAATAAGAGCATGTTTAAGAAAATAGATAAGCTTCTAAGTAAAAAAAGGGCAAAAAAAGGAGGTAAAGTTATTGAATAGAATTCATGTTTGGATAAGTCTTGCTAATAAGCACATTTATGCTTGGGAATCTAGTTACCTTTAAGCTAAATCAATAGGAAGTATTACCGATGTTCCTTTATGTTGGGAAATCTAGTTACTTCTAAGGGTAAAAGTGGTCTTTTCCTTGGTCAAAGAGAGAGCAAAAAGTAAGCAGGAAAGTATAAGTGGGCGTTCTTCCAAAAAATCAGCATATTTTTCGGAATTTTCTTTAAAAAATTGAGCTTATTTTTAAGCCCAAACTTGTTTGGTAAAGAAAGGTTCTTATAATCCGGTTTGCCAGCTTATAAGCACACCCAAAAATGCTCAAAGTAGTCTTCCCACTTGCTGCATTTATTCTTCTATTGAACTATCCAGCAACATCATAGTTTTCCCAAATTCTAATGCTATGAAAGATAATTTGACTTGTTCATTTAATAACAATTTTATACGAAGTCTTCAATTTAATTGCAAAAGGAAAAAATTCTTCTATCACCTTTAAGCACGGAAGACTCCTAGAATCGTGCAGTCATTTTTTCCCTAAATTTTGATAATGGTTCTCCAACACCAATAATAATAGTGTGAGGAAAATAAGGATGTCTAAAAAGACGAGTATATACATTTGAATAGCACAACTGGAAGAAGACAATAATGAAGAAACAAATATTGCTTAACTAAGTGTTACATTTGACTGCATTAAAACCCAGCAAGAAATGGTTCCATTAGTAAATGTCCAAAGATTCCCCTTTTGCTAGCTAAATGTTAAGCGCTAACCACAAGGAGACAAATTCTTTGAACCATTCAATTCACACAACTATTTTAAAGTGAGATAATAATATAATATTACAACATTTTGATGAATATTCCTATTTCCCCCACTAAAAGAATATGAAAATCCGAAAATGACCTCCTTAAAAAGGGTGTAACAGAGGTATTTGATTATGGTGGATCTATACAATAAATATTAAAACCCTAAAAATAAAATAAAGGTAAGATCCAAACTTCTTCAGGTCATACAATTGCATTAAACAAGCAAAAGCAACTAAACTTATATCTTCATCGAACAGTTAGAAAAGGAAAAGATCACAGAAATAAAGATTTGGCGAAATGATCTCTTGGCAGGCAGGATTATAAGATAGTACCATATCAGCAGCATATGTTGACTCCTGAAGCTGGACATTTCTCTCCTCTAAGCTTTTCTGCAATCTACTAATTTCATTTTCCATGATTTTCGCTTTGGTTTCAGCTTCCTGTCATAATAAACAATAAACAAAAAAAATAAAATCAATTCTCGAAAAGATACAAAATTTCCGAAAACAATAAATGGCCCACACTCATCACTCGCCTTTAAAAAGGCAAAACTAAAGGTATAATCATTTCATCTCATCTCACTTCCCAAAACAAATTAATTATAATTCATGACTTTACAACTATTTGAAAATTCAATAAAACGCATCCACAGAGCTTGTTTGGGTAGAATTTTAATCCAATTAAAATTGAAAATATAGTTGATATCGATCAATCTAATAAAAGTCAACTCAAAACGACTAGTTTTTCAATTTCAATCTGATTTTAATCACTGCCAAACAAGCTTACAAATAGGCAAATTTGAATTTTGTCATACCTGTCTAGTTAGGGTTTCGCGAGCAAAACACTTTTCTTGAGAAGCGAGACGGCCGCGAACGTCCTTGAGCTCCGACGCCAACGACACCACGTTCCGCCTGAAGCTCTGCTTCTTCTCGTTCAGATCCTTCAGCAACGGATCCACTTCTCTACGTACCACCGTAACCGTCGAGGATGCCGATGATGACGTCGGCTTCTCCTCCACTGACATCATCACTTCGATACAAATTCCAGAACAGCAGATGCTTGAATTTCGTTGATGCTGCCGGTTGCACTGAATCAGGACTGGAAGAGGAATTTAATTTAATTTAATTTGGTTACTCTCCCTTTGAAATGGATAAAAGCTAGACCCATACGTATCACACGCTGCATGTGACCCCTTGCGTAGAGCATTTAATACACTGACGAATAATTCAACGGAAAATAATTAACTAGGTTATTTATCTATTTCAGTAATAGCTCAAGTGACGATTTTCAACTCAAATTCAAAATTTAAATGTGAACTTCGTGTTTATATGGAATAATATATTATACCACTTTCAACCTCAACACAGTTGACAGCTCTGAAACTTCAGTTCAAACTGATTCAACCCACAGACTTATCGCTTTAAATACAGCACAAGAAACACTTCATATATACACACATCTATGAACACGCAGATGCATATACATATACGTATACATATAATAGAAAGAGAAAGAGAGACAGGATTTTCAGAACAAAAACACGAAATACATCAAGCTTTGGCAAGAAATTCGATTGAAAACGGTTTTCAAATGGAGAGTAATTGTAGAGAGAGCATATGAACACAAGCGAATTGTAGAGGAGTGATTGGAGGAGAGAGAGTGACAAGGCAGGAATAAATTCAAATTCAACTCTTCTGATATTTTAATGTGAAGTATTTTATAATTTTAATTTAATTTATAGTAATCTAGATATTTAGTGTATGATTTACATTTGTTGAATCATCCGACGGTGGAAAATGGTGATTGAAAGAGCGGAGGGCTGAGATTCGGAGGTTTTAGTGTGAGATAACGCTATTTTGTGAAGGCGAAGTCTGAGGTTCGGATTTGAGTTTGAAAGTAGGCCCGGGAAACCGAGCCTCGGGTTAGACGAAAATGACAAGATTCGAACCTAGTACGGATAATATCAGGATAAAAATAAAAAACAAACTATGGTTGAATTGACATCCACGTGGCTTTAAAGGAAAATGGGCTGCCAGTGGATTTGAATTGGGCTCATTTTGTTGAGGCCCATGGGCTCAGCCCAAAAGCTTTAATATTTGGGAAAAATTCATAAATAAGGTATTTAGTTTACACCAATTCAAAAATCATGTTTATAGTTTGAAAATTCAAAAATCAGGTTTTTTTTTTATTCTAATATAATATAATATAATAAACACACCCCACATACACCACCCCGACCGCTCCGGAAACTATTCCGACGACCATTCCGACAACCACTCTTATTCGGCGACCATTCCGACGACTGCTCCGATTCCCGCGACCATTCCAGCAATCATTCCGACGACCACTCTTCTCCGGCGACTATTTTAGCAATCATTCCGGTTACAGATTTATAATTGAATTAGTCACATATTATTTTTCAGTCACAAATACTAATTTTTATACGTCATAGATTATTTAATGGTTACAGTTCAAAAATCTTATAGGTCACATTTAATTCGTTGATCACAGATTTCAAAATTAGTCAGTCACATATCAAAATTTATAGGTCACACGGTCATAGATTTCCAAATTAGTTGGTCACAAATTATTTCGAGATCACAAATCAAAAAATTTATAGGTCACAGATTATTTCGAGGTCCCAAATCAAAAATTTTATAGGTCACAGTTTATTTCACTAGTCACAAATAAAAAAATTACAGGTCACATATTATGAATCGGTCACAGATTTTTAAATTTGTTGGTTACAGCACCATGAACGCACCCACAACACCTTACACGGCACCACCATCGCACCACCACACCACCGTCGTCTGCCAAAATCCACCCCCTCTCCCAAAACTACCACACGATCCACACCACATCCATCACCCCACCAACAAATAATAAGTCCTCCACCGCCACCACCATCAACACCTCCCCCTACACCACCAGCCATCAAAAATTTTGGCACCAAATAATTTACAGTCATCTCGCTCTCACACATTTCTTCACCCACTTTCCAATCTCCCAAAACCCTACTTCAACAAAGAATCCCTCTCATCAGCAACCACCTTCGTCATCGGCAACCAATCCCACCACTCCAACTCCTCACGGGCACCCCAAGCAGCAACCGCATACAACCCTTCTGATGCACGACACTCCTTGAGCTGTTGAGCAACCACACGACTCCTCATACACCGCAAACAACATCTTCTCTACATCGCCCCTGCCTAATCAACAACCAAACCGATCAATTACACACTACCATTTCCTTTGTGCCTTCCTAGCCACAAAGTCCCCCACCCGTTGACTCAAAATCAAGGTGAACAACATCGATTCACACAGCCAATTGAAACACCCAACATCCCAATAGAACCAGCTGCTGTTGCGATACCCGATTCGCAGCAGCTGCTGCGAATCGCAGTAACGTCGCTGTGACGCTGCTGCGATTCGCAGCAGAGGGGGGGAGATGGGGAGGGGAAGGGGAGGGGAGAAGAGAAGAGGCGAGGCGAGAGAGAGGGGAGGGGGTGGAGAATGAAAAATTAGGGTTAGGGTGTTTATATATTACCTGATTTTTGAAGAATGAAACTTGGTCCTTGATTTTTGAATTTGAAACTTTAAACACTTGATTTTTTATAATTTCCCTTAATATTTTCATATCTAAAACGTCATCTTCCCTTCTTATCACTACTGATTTTTGAGATCCAACAGTGGAGAGTTGTTTGTTGTATTAAGTAGTGGGTTTTGAATGAACAATTTTTATTTTAAAAAGAAATGAAAAAAGTGCTTTTGAAATATTTATCTCGTTCCCCATTTACCCTACACCAACCTCTTAAACATTAATTCACCAAACTTGTTGAGTTGATCAAGTTTACGCATGGTAGTAGAGCATAATGGAGCCGAGGCGGCCTCTCCACTCCACCTTGGCGGGCAGTAGCAGAGGGGAGGTGTTAGAATAATTCTATTTTGTGGACTTCCATTTGATTGTAAATTTTACGGGTTAGATGTACGGTTTGCAATGATACTGTGATTAGGCTCAATATATTAGTGATCATTTGGGCCGTTGTACACTTTATGAGCTATATTATTAGATGTGGTAATTTTAAGTATGTAGGTCAGAATTATGTAAACCCTAATTAGGGTTAGAGTCGGTAATGATTTTATAATTTCCTATATAATGGCTAAGTCTCATCTCCTCTCCATATTGTTTTGATTTGCTTCATTGACCGCTGATTATTTGTGAGGAGCAAGAAAATGAAGATCTAGCTGGTAATATTCATAAATAAAAATGTCATTCGCAGGTATGAATCTTAATCTACCAATTTAGAATATATGATTCTTGTTCTTAGCATGATTATTGAATAATTTCAACAATTGGTATCAAAGCGGCATGCTAAGATTTGAATCCTTTAAACAAATAATAATAATTTAATTTCCTATGCACAAAATCTGCTCCATCCGCCTAAGTGCATATATGTTTTTTCACCAAAATCAATTGATTTATGTCTCTGTGTATACATTATCAAAGCAAAACACATGCCACTGTCTGGCCTAATTTTAAATTGGAACTGTATTCGCTCATATTTTAAGTTATGTGAGTTTTTAACCATCCCATAAAGTTAAAGTAACCTGTAACTAGTATAAGATTTCCTTTGTTGCAGTTTCCCGTTCTATGTGAATTTATTTATTTATTTATTTTTTGGTGCTACATCAGCGAGCAGCTGCATCAACTCGCGACTGCTGCTGATGCAGCCAGCGCTGCTGCAATGAGCAACAGCCTGGTGCTGCATCATCTTGTCGCTGCTCGCTGCTGCAGAATCAGGCGCTGCTATCCGATGCCTGGTGCTGCATCAGCAAGCAGCGGCGTTGCAACTGCAGTTGACGGCGATAAGCATCGCTGCTTCGACGGCAGCGGCTCTTGCTACCTAGGGTTTTGATTTTTGGCCGATTTCAATTGTCTTGGGAATGGGGGCTCCTCTTGCAATTTGTTAATTTTTGGGTCTTCTCCTACAATTTAACTAAGGGTCATTCTGTAATTTAAGGATAGGGACATGTTATGTAATTTCTAAAATTGGAGACCTTTTTCATAATTTAATTTTAGGGTCAATTTTGGAATTTTGAAATATTAAATTTGAATTTTTAAAATGGGATTTTTAAATTTGATCCAAATATATTTCAATTTCGACCTAAATTTAAAATTATATTTAAAATGACGACTTTATATTTTTGTTGAAATATTTTAAACGTCATTGTTATTTGTCTATTTAAATTTTATTTTCATATATTGAAACTTAGTTGTCAATTTCATCTCACAATCGCGCATGGATTTTGCTTTTTGTCGTTTGATGATTGTGATTATTATTATTAAATTTTTCGTGGACTTTAAGTCTATCTTAGTGCTCTCATTATGAGAAATATTTTGAAATAAAAGTGGGTGGTAGTTGCCAAAATGGCACGCTCATTTTTATTTATTTGATTTTCTTCAAAAAACAATTTGACATTAGCATCATAATTTTGAATTATTACATATAGTATCTTGACCAAATGTGTTATTGTATGTAATATTTTTTNAGTATCTTGCCCAAATGTGTTATTAAATGTGATATTTTTTTTAAATTGACATAAAACAGTTAACGAGTTTACTTGGTCTAGAAATCTTCTTCTACTCAAAGGTGTTGGTGTTTCAAAAATTAATCTGTTTTATTAATTAATTTGATCGTGTGTTTTAAAAGTACATTATTACGTGTTATATTGTTAACCCCAATGTGACTTTATAATGATATATTTAGGCTCTTACCGTAATGATATTCATTTGAATTTGACTTTAATTACGGACTATCTAATTAGTAGCACGTGTTAATTAGATAGATATGTTATCATCCATTGTTTGCATGCATTATGTTTGGATGATATTAGATATATTATTTTATGTTTCCATAATTTTAAATGTCTCAACTCTTTCGAGTCAATTGTCTGCTATTGAAACCTTGACTAGGAATAATTATGTGAGATGAAAACGAGATTTAAAAATATCACTTGGTCTTTTGGGGTTGGATTTTGCAATAGAGAAGCAGCTTTCGAAACCCACAAATAAAAGCAATCCTGAATATGTAGCTAAGTATGAAAAGTGGGAAATGATTAATAGACTTTGTTTGAAAATTATTAAGCACTCCATATCCGATTCCATTATGGGTGCTATTCCGATAATGAAAATGTTAAAGGTTTTGTGGATGCCATAAGAATGAGATTTGTTGAGTTTGATAAAACTGAAACTGGAGATTTGATGCGCAAACTGATGAATATGAGATATGATGGTACAAGTGGTGTGAGAGAGCACGTTAAGAAGATGATCAATATATCTTCTAAATTAAAGGCTCTTAAGATTCCCATTATTGAGTCTTTTCTGGTCTATCATGTTCTGAATAACTTTTCGAGCATGTTTAATCAGCTGAAGGTTGCTTTTAAAGCTCAAATAAATAAATGGGATTTGAATGACCTTATTGATGTATGTGTCCAAGATGAGTATAGGTTAGAGCGTGAAAATATCGAAACTGTACAATTAATTTTTCAGCCACCATAGGACAAGGGGTCTTTTCATAACCATAAGTCTAGGTTCCATAAGGGCAACAAGTTACACCGCAATTAGCAGAACAAAAATTTTAGAGGTCAGACTTCTGGTGGTCCCAAATGAGTGATAAAGAAAAATGATCAATGCAAGTTCTGGAAGAAGAATGGTCATAGGCAGAAATATTATTTTAAATTTAAGACTTTGTTGAAGAAAAAGAGTTCCGCAGGGGTTCATGAGTAAACGAAGGCCAATTGAGAATGAAGTAACCATGTGTGTTGTGAATGAAGTTCAAGTGAAAGTTGATTTCATAAGAATAGTGAAGTTAATTTTGGAGTCTGGTTTCTCTCTTGTTTTAGAGAATATTGTTTTTTGTACCAACAATGAGACAAAATTTAATTTTTATATCGAAATTTGATATTTTTGGTTTTTCTTTTAATTTTGGTAATGGAATGGTTGAATTATTTTATGATTATCGTTTGATTGGAAATGGTTTCTTATGTGATGGTTTATATAAATTGTTTTTGATTTCTTTTGGTGAAATCTCTTGTGTTACGAATGTGTCAAAGAAAATGTCTCTTATTCGTGAATCATCCTCCATGTTGTGGCATAAGCGGTTGAGTCATATTTCAAAGGATATGATGGAGAGATTGGTTAAACTTGAGATACCTTCTGGATTAATTTCGAACTATCAATTAACTATGTGATTTTTATTCTTATTCTTAGCATGGTTGTCCAGCCCAAGATTGTTTTCTTTATTTCACGTGATTTTTGATATTATTTTCATTTTTAGAACTATTATTAGGGTTTGACATGTATCCCACTATCCCCATATATAGTTGACTCTTCTTCATAATTAGAACAAGTTAGACTTCATTAGAATTGTGATATTGTAATTCTCTCTCCTTTATAATAAATTCTCCATTCTTGTGCTAATTTTTTGTATTCTTCTTGTGTTATGATTGTTACTTCATATTGTGTCATATAATCTTTTTTCTTCTATTCCTAACAAGTGATATCAACATACATAATTCTTGTTCAGATTCTAACAAGTGGTATCAGAGTTTAAGATTTGATTTATTCGAAGTTTTGTTCTTAATAGNAATGAAAAATGTTTAGTGAGTCTAAATGAGGAAACTTGGCTATGGCATAGGAGACTAGGCCACGTTAGCATGGAACTCCTTTCAAAAATCTCCAAAAATTTCTTTGTCAAAGATTTGCCAAATCTAAAATTTGAAAATGACAAAATTTGCGAGGCATTCAATTTGGTAAACAAGTAAAAAGCTCATTCAAATCAAAATTACACTCATCAACTACAAAACCACTTCAATTGCTCCACATTGATCTTTTCGGACCTTCTAGAACCACTAGTTTAGGAGAAAAACACTATGCTTTTGTTATTGTTGATGATTTCTCAAGATTTACTTGGGTTCTTTTCTTGAATGAATCTTAAAGATGAAGTTCTAAAGACCTTCAAATATTTTTGCAAAAAATTTCAAAATGAAAAATGATATCCAAATTTCAACCATTAGAAGTGATCATGGTGGAGAGTTTGACAATCTTGCCTTTGATAAGTTTTGTAATGAAAATGGATATTAACACAAATTTTCAGCTCCTAGAACTCCTTAA